ACTTGCAATGACAGAAATGGAATGGGATGCAAGCAATCATATGGAGGCATCAGCCATAACTGTCAACAAAGAGCCAAGGCAACATAATCCTCAAACCATGGAATCTGAAATCAGTTTGAAGTCCCATGGAGCTTCTTCACTTGTAAAGAGAACGATGTTTGTTCAGGATCAGCTGCACCAATTCAGTAACTTTTTAAGCCAACCTGCCACTCAATCTTCAGTTGTGGGGTCATCGTGTGCTACTACAATATCAATACACTCCACTTCAGCACCCATGCTTAATTCGACAACCTACGTCTCTTGTTCTCATCAAGAAGGTAGTCTTCAAGCAGTGCCTGAACCTTTGGGAGATTTCAATGTGAACTCTGAACCTATAAATCGAGAAAATGCAATGCCCTCGTCATTTTCTTCAGTCAAGGACACAAGTGCTATGTTGGTTGATCAAGCAGTTACAGCAGAGGCAGCTACCTCTGCTATCGACACCCAGGTAGAAGTTCAGGAATGTGATAATGTTAGGCAGAAACAGGACATTAAGGTGAAGGAAAATGAAGTTCCAAGGAGTTCTCATCCTAACTATGATAAGTCAAAAAAAAATCCAGGATTTTCAGTGAATGTGAATGACGTCCAACCTCATGCTTCATTGCCCAAAAAATTGCCTTCAGACTTGAAATTAGAGCCTTATAAGCAGGAAAAGCAAGAAAAGGTTGCAAGTGGCAAAGGGGCCTCAGCACCTCGTAAACGTAGTTATGATCCTGACTTGTTCTTCAAAGTCAATGGAAAGTTCTATCAAAGGCTTGGGAAGATAGGTAGCGGAGGAAGTAGTGAAGTCCACAAAGTTATCTCTTCTGATTGTACAATATACGCACTTAAGAAAATCAAGCTTAAAGGTCGTGATTATGCCACCGCATATGGGTTTTGCCAGGAAATTGAGTATTTAAACAAGCTGAAGGGGAAGACCAACATTATACAGTTAATAGACTATGAGGTAATAACTTTGAACATAAAATTATTTTCGTGCAAAGTAAGTCCCTGCCTATCTTAACTGCATATGCAATATACAGTGCCAGCTTTACCACCTCATTGGATTGAAAATTGCTGAGCAAAACTTTCTTTGTGTAAATCCTGTTTAATGTAGATCGAGAGAATTAGAGCTTTATGAAATGATGCTTTGAATTGATATTTATACTGTCATCCTCCGTGGTGTAGCCAAATTTTTTTTAGTTTCATTCATGACAGTTTATGACTTTGTATTTTGTTCTTTTTGTATGTTTTCACAAAACATTAATTTTCATGAAAGACTTGAGGATATCTGCACATATATGGAGTTTTGAATATGAACATGTGAAATTTAGAACTAAATAAATCAAAATTAAGAGAAAAAAATGTGACAGTAGCTTAAAAAACTAATGATTTATATAAAGTGACAAAAACTAAATTACAGTGTATTAAAATGTCCCCACAAAACCATGGAATTTGAATTGCAATTGTATCAAACTCCAATTAGTGAATTGTAATTTTTCCTTTATCCTATATGTCTGGGGCACTGATAATTGAATTCTATTTTCTTCTATCATTTCATTCTGTATCCATAATTGTTAAAACAAATTGGCTATGTTCAAGAAGGTGACCTTAGTTTATTAATTCTTTGCAATGTTTTACTCATACATGATTTTGTATGCACAGAATAAGAGACTTCTTTATTGGCTTCAATTAGTCTTCTTTTCCTACATGAAAACAAGTTGCAATTTTATATTATATTGTATCACACTCCCTGATTTCCTTTGCACTTGTAGTTCTGGTCGTATTAGATGACAGTACACCTAAATACTGTTCCTTGGTGTTAGGTGACAGATAAAACTTTGCTCCAGGAAGTCATGAGTGGCTCCATGAGTAATAAAGATGGCAGAGTCAAGGATGATGGATGCATATACATGGTGCTTGAATATGGAGAAATTGATCTGGCTCACATGCTGTCCCAGAAATGGAAAGAAATTGATGGGTCTAATCAGATAATAGATGAGAACTGGCTTCGGTTTTACTGGCAGGTCTTTGACTACCCTGTACCTTAAGTTGCATTTGCTAATTTTATTTATATTTAATGTTGTACCTTTTGGTTATGGTGATAATCACTAATAGCAGACTTTGTTAAAATAATGCAAAAAATTTTATTTTTGTCCATCATTCGACATGTCTCCCACTGATCCTCCTGATAGAAATCACCTGTAGTTTTTTCTATTTCTCTCTATTTTCCTCTTTCTTGTTGTAAAAAGTCGTATTGATTGTAAAAAAGAACTGCCATAAAAGATTTTGATTTACTTTTATTCGTTAGTGTTTAAAACTGATCATTTTCTTTTGGGTTAGTCATAGTTTGTCCTTATTCTTTTTAAGCTTTTTATTTAGTGTCTGTTTTCTCTCTTTACATACAGCTTCTGATGTATTTGTTGTTTGTAGCTGCCCAGTATAGTCCTAGTCTATGTTTGGACAGATTCAAAAATTAAGTAGAATTTATTTGTCAATCTACATTTATTGCAACTGGAAAATGGTTTAAATTTTTTCCAAAATGATTAAAATGGACATCATAAAGAATTTCTCCTGAACTTAGAATAATGCATGTAAAATTGGAATAGATTATTTCAGTTCCACGTCAAATTCTATGTAAGGCAGGTTTTTTAATCTTCTAACAGAATTTATATATTTTCCTAGTTAGTTAAGTTTGAATTTACAAATAAATTCCATCAAATTTCTGAATTTGTTCCAACATAATCGTAGAACTTTTTGTTTAAGTTTGTAATGAATTCTGTTGTGAAAAATTTAATGTTAATTTGTTAAAGCACACTGCAGCAAATACTTCAAGCTGTCAATACCATACACGAGGAGCGCATTGTGCACTCAGACTTGAAGCCAGCCAATTTCCTTCTTGTCAAGGGTTCTTTAAAGTTAATTGATTTTGGTATTGCCAAAGCCATAATGAGTGATACAACTAACATTCAAAGGGATTCACAGGTAATAATCCTTCTTAACTTTCCATTTTTTTCCTCATGCTTAAAAGTTTCTGCAAGAATTCCACCAAATGCTTACTGCTTTCTGAGAACTGATTTTGACACTTCTGTATTTATTGTTCTTTTTGCTCCATAATTTCTTGGATTAACATGCACATACATAGAGTTCTTATGTTTCTTGTGATTTCTACCGATTTTACATAAATGGGTTTGGTACCTCGTTCAAAATGAAGTGGGGACTTTGCTTGCTATAGTTAATTTTGGTATTTTTTTATTACAGTAGGTTTGTCTTAGATATATAATACTTGTCGAGGTAGATAATGATGATTGAAGACTCATCCGATATGTTCATTTAAGTACAACTGTGAATTATTCTCACTGGACAGCATACAGGACTCTTGCAATTTCCCATTTCATTTCCTTTTATTATACCATGTAGTGGTACAATAACGTGTTTGACATGGTTAAGACTTAATTGTCAGACAAACAACAAAGTACTTGTTCAAAATTTCATAGAGCTCTTTGAATTATACTACTGCAGGTAGGTACTTTGAGTTACATGTCTCCTGAGGCATTTATGTGCAACGAGAGTGATGCAAATGGAAATGCGATAAAATGTGGTCGGCCATCAGATATTTGGTCTCTTGGCTGTATACTTTATCAGATGGTTTATGGGAGGACTCCATTTGCCGAGTACAAGACTTTCTGGGCAAAGTTCAAAGTAATAACGGATCCAAACCACAAAATAACATATGAACCAGTCTCTAATCCATGGCTTCTTGATATTATGAAGAAATGTCTTGCATGGGACCGCAATGAGAGATGGAGGATTCCTCAGCTACTTGAACATCCTTTTCTTGTGCCCCCAGTTCCTCCACAATCATCTTCCTCTCAGAATAAAAATGTTAAATTGCTTCAACTTATGGCTGAAGCTTGTGGAAATGACCAGGAGGCTTCCATGATATGTCTTCAGCTCAGCCAACTCCTAAAGGACCCACTCTCATCGGCTACTGAGCTATCAACATCACGTGTGCAACAGTGTAAGTTGCTCTTGCAAATGTCAAAGCTTTGCTATCAGCTCCAGGAATGTTTAGCAAAGTCAGAAGCAAAGTAGGTAAAAATGCGAGTTTGTAAATCATAATGTTTGTTATATCATCAACTCCTGAATGTTCTTTTGGGCTATATAGAATGTTTAAATATGCAGAATTCTGTTATACCCCTTTGTAGCAAAAATATTGTATTAATTGTGTTCATTATCTGTGCCATCTGCTCCCTTGATTAGAGCTGTCTTCGGCTGTCTTCGAACTTCAAAAAGATGTTAAGCTTACGTTTGTGTAAATAGAAACTCCACTGACGGCAATTTTGGTATATGGTCATTTGTAATTCATTTTTCTCAGTTCAACAAGTCAAGCAAGCAATGTTTTCTCAAACGAAACTACAAAAGCTGCAAAATTTGTTCTTTTCTGCTCTATCTGTCAGTCAGAAAATTTGATATGAGCCAGAATCCCTAAATTTCTTGCCAGAAAAAATATGTATGCACTAGCATTGTGGAAGGCTCTTACCTACCTTTCTTAATATTAACATTGGTTGTAAGATAGGAAAGAGAGCTAGCTCTCATATTTTGTGAACATACAGTATTATACAATCATAGATAGAGTAAGCTAATAAATATTAATTATTATAGATTGCAATATTTAGTCAGTATGATATTAATGGTTCAATTTTTTATGCACAATTTTGAATCTTTTTTAAAAGACCTGTGCACCTCAGGATTTAATATTTTCGGAACTTACGAATCCAGACTGTCGCAAAGCTCGATGTAAAAGTTTGTTTTTGACCACACTAAGAAATAAATCAGGATTTGCTATTTATAATTTAAGATTTATATTCAAAAATACAAATTAATTGAATTAAAGACAATAAAAAAATTAACCCTACAGTAGAATGTAGATGATGTAATTTATAAAAAAAAATGAACGTAAAAGAGCAATAGTTATCTTATTCTGTGATTTTCATTTAAGAGCAAAGGGTGAACAAGGAACAAAAAGAAAATTAATACTCAGAAAAATTTGTAACATTGTCTTTTACATAGTTCTTTTAAAATTTCACTCTCATCTGTCTATATAAAAGACAAATAAAAAATACAATATAATCAATCCTGCAGCATAACTAATTATAACATGTAAAACTCTGGGAAAACCAAGCAACAAGTAAAACATGTAAAACCCGCAAAAACTGACTTTTAACTGTCAAAAAGGTCTTTAAAGAAAAAGCAAACTAATTAGTCTACACATCTTCCATTACTTTTGTTATGTTGGATCAATTATGGCTACGTGATTTTTGTATGGAGAAACTGAACCTAAAGCTGAAGGTTCTGCTTGGTTTTGCCGATGCCAAACAGACCTGGCTACAGCTCGGGTTCCCTCTTCTGCTGGGACAGATCACATATTTTTAAGAATGACTTACAGCTGCACAAAAGGTAGTGCTAATGGTGGCAGAGGCAAAATTTCAGGTAAAATTTTATCACTCATCATCTTTAGACGAACGCTTGTAAGACGCTTCAGCACGTGCTTCCTCCAACTTCATTAGGAGATCCTTCATGAAAGGTGTATTTGTCCCGTGAGTGATTCGTAGTACATCTACTGCTTTGGTGAATGATTTTACAGCATTCTCCGTATCTCCAAGCAACCTGTGGCAATCAATTGCAGCAATTTTCAAGCTTTAGAGTACAATAAAAGAGCTGAGATTGCAGACAACAAGAACTGCTGGTCTCAGCTCTCAATTATGGATGCAAGGAGACACCACTAACAAAAGGCTCTTAATAACAGTATTTTAGCAGCCCGACCTGCTTGAACTTATGAGTTAATTATGCTCTATGACAAAGAGCACATCTGTCATCTGTGAAAAGCAATTGGGAATACAGGGAGCCAGGAGGACCCGGACAGGACCTTCATGTAGTCCTCCATTAAACCATTTTAAAAGATAAACAAAAAAAAAATGAACACATGCAGAATCCTAACCACTCAAGTTTTCCACAGGTATAATACTGCAATCCAAGCAAAGGATGAGATGGTGGATAAACTCCTGCAATGAAGAAGAAAATGAAAGCTCAGAAGATCAGAGTAATATTAAATTGAATATTCAATAAACAAGGAAAATAAAACAGAACTAGAATAGATGATGCACCAGAAATTGGGATGAATAGGAGCATTCTGTTAAGATTCATTATGTGTTAATTATTCTAGTATGGAGCTAAATTACTCCTAGAGTCTTTCATGTTATCTCGTGATATTCACTTTGATCTGACAGCATGAAATGACCACTAAACACTGCACAAGCTGTTCAAGAGAGATTTGAGGAGAAAAAACTGTCAAAATCTAAGAATATTTTAAGGTTCCATGCATAAACTTATCTGTTTCTAGAATTTTAAGGATTACTGAGATATTTTGACAGTCATGAGAATTTGACTTTAGAAGGACTAGACCTAGCACCCTGCGCACGGCACACCTTATATTAAAAGCAATCAGTGTATATTTGTAAGCTCGAAAGTTAACAGAATTGAAGGCAGGTTTTTCTTTCACCAGCAAGGTCCTTTTTATTTCTTATCCAGAACCAGAATCAAATTTGAACCAAAAAACTACTTTGATAAACCGGAATGGTTAGTCGGCAGTATTCCAAAGCTTCTCTCCAGTTTTTCACCTCCATCAAGATCTGCAAAGACATAATTCAATCATCATCATTGATAAACATCAGTGTTAAATTCAACAATTTGCAGTGGTCTAAACAAATAAAACTTACATTTCGTCTTCTGGTTGCTTCAGCTTTTAGAGGCTATTATTATATAAAAATAAGAATTTCTAAGAAAGAGGGTGGAAGAAGATTAATGAAAACACTAATTTCACTAGCACTAAAAGGTAATAGAGCCATTGCCTATTTATATTAGAAAAACATAATATAACTGCTAGTTACCAAGAATATCAGGGCTAAAATTCAAACTCTACCCCTCAATGATTAGCCACCAGTATTAGAGAGATTTGCATAGTTGATATCAACTAGCTGGAGAAGATGTCATTCTTCTAAACTATGGATGCAACTCCTCCCTCAACTGAAAGATATTAATAAATGTCAAAACAGAGCAAAAGCAGATAACGTTATTTTATGTCTGCAATTTACACCTCCAGTTCTGATCATTAGAGATACTATCAATCTATTCTTTTCTTAAACAAGAAGAGGTACGGTCAACTAAATGATGTCAGTTTTTTTCATAATTTAGGATCTCTCAAAACAAATTTGAAACTAAAAATAGGGCAAAATTGTCTCCTTCATTTACAACTTTAGATTCCTCATAGCCTTAAACAGAGCACTATCACTTGTTCTGGTGCATGTTTTTGTTAAGTGTGGATCAAAGATTCTGTAAATGGAAAAGGGATAAAAGAGTTCCCTCATAAGATATGGTAAAAAATAATATTGCAATTATAAGTAAAAGAAGTAGGAAGTATTGACAATTAGGTAATCTTTCTTAAATGCACTCTTTTTTGGAGGGTTGATTGGACTACTTGCACATTCTTAGAATTGCAGAGATGGACATGCTAAAGAACAATTTTTTCTTTTTTTTTTTTTGAGATAAAAAGGTGTAGTATTATAAACAAAGGTACCAAGGAGGTATCGCTCATGTACAAAAAAATTTACAAGTCAATTATCAGATCAATGATATCCCAAAAATCTTCCATACTATAAATTTCATGACCCATAATTAAGGAACTAAAAGTATTTAATTACCAATTTCTAATATTTACATACTTCTCTTCAACCCTCTCAAAAGCTCTAGCATTTCTCTCTTTCCATATTACCCAAAATATAGATAAAGGGATAAGATTGAGATAAGTTTTCTTTTTACAAATTTTCGCCCACACCCACAACTCATCCCTTACTGACCCCGAATCACCCAATTAATTCCCAAAAGATCAAAAACCATACTCCATAAATTAGCAAAAATGGGCACCAAAGAAGAATGTGGCTACAGGATTCCGAAACCATTTTGCATAAAAAGCAACAATTCACCAAGATTTTCCCTCTTCGCATAAGTTTGTCAATGGTCAAGATGCATTCTCTAGCCATTTCCCAAGCAAAGAATGCGATTCTTGGAGGGGCTCTAATCTTCTATAAGTGATTGACCGGAAGGTGAATTATCCATGATCCTCCCCCCCAGTCAGATACTTATAGTACGATTTGACAGTGAAATCCCTTTTTTTCCTTAATTTCCAAACCAACCAATCATTGATATCATTTATCTATTACCTTCTTCATCCCCTAAAGAAATCTGCATTGAACGTTCTCAAGTTTCCTAGCAATCTTTACGGAAACGTCAACGCCGATAAATTATAGTTAGGAAAATTAGTCAACATACTCTTAATTAGTGTCAATCTTCCTCATTTAGATAAGTAATTTCTCTTCCAACCGGCAAGCCTTCATTCGAACAAGTCAACCACTGAGTCTCACATTTTCAGATCCTTATATTTTGACCCGAAAGGAACACCCAAGTATTTGATAGGTAACTAGACTACCTTACCCCCCAGCACCCTCGCCAACCTTTCACCATTCCTTATGTCCCCCCCCCCCCCCCCCATCATTACCAATTCAAATTTTTTCATATTGATATTAAGACCTAACACCGCCTGGAAACATAAAAGAATAAACCTCAGGTGAAGCATCATCCTCTCCTCTGGTTGACAGAAAATGAGCGTGTCATTAGCAAAAAACAAATGTGATATCTCAACCTCATGATCACCTCTACCTACCTCCACCCCCATCATGCTCAAAGACGAATAGTTATGTCTCAAATAAGAAATTCACAGCGGAAGGGTACTCCAAAAGTAATGTTCATAGGCAATAGTCACATTGGTAGCCTTTGCCGTTATCTCTTTCAGCAAAAAAAAAAAGTAATCTTAAAAATTAATAGCAGAGATGACCAATAGAAGGGCTAGATTTTTTCACAAGGGCTAAAGTAAAATTGTTCTTAATTGTCTGATTATACGAACAATTCCTGATTATCAAGTTTAACAAAAGAGCATTTTCACCATAGATTTTAGCCACTATCTGTTATTAAGAAGGGCATTTTCACCAAAAGATTGTAACTTCTGTTATTAAAAAGGGTTAGGATGCAAGATGTAAGGGTTCGTGATTCAATTAACCCTTATATTCATATATTTTATTCTTTTTAGCCACATTCTCAAAGAAGAAAATGACTGAGCTTAGGTGTACCTGGAATTTGGTTGTGATAGAAGAACCCATTTTCTCAGCTTTTATTCCCATTGAATTCTGATACATTTCTCTTCTACATAGGTTGCCTCTAACAAACCACATAACTAGTTTTCTATTTTTTTCCTAAATTACTTATTTATTTTAGTCATGCGAAACACTAAGTGTTCACTTAGACACAAATCTTTCTTATGGTCCCGTGTTCAGGATCAGGATGGTTAGGTTTATGCGGAGTTTGTGTTTAGGGCTTGTTGGAGAGAACTATTTGATGTCTGCAGTGAGTACTTTAAACCTTAGTTTAAAGTCATTTTCTGACTAATTTTATTCACATGAACAGTTTGCATATTTACAGGTGAGTACAGCATAAAATTTACTTTTTAATGATAAAAACCATGAATAATAAATTTCTAAATTTAAGACTTATTAGCTGATTTTTTTTCCTATTAACATAAAATAATTCCTCTTCTAACTTACTCCAAACTACTAAGCTAAATGACCTCTTACTCTAAATGCTTAAGGATATTAGCCCAGATTTCCTCTCTCTGGGGCCTACACATACACCATCTGTATTTTTTTGTGCTTCTTCTTTTCTTTCTGCCTTTCTTTATTCTACTGCTTCTTTTTTCTTTTTTCTTTTTCTTTATTTTCGCTTTCTGCTTTTTTCTTTCTCAACTAATGAAGCATAACAGTCTTCTACTATTGCAAGTGAAAAATCAAGTGGATCATACTCCTAAGATTCAAACTTCCCACAAAAAAATTAGAAGTAGGGAGACCATGTTCCCTTTCCCTTCTCTCACAATTTTTCTAAGCCTTTTCGGAAGGTTCCTGCTCTTTCAAAAGTTAAATTTTAATTCAGACTGCAGTTTTGGATAGCCTTAATACAAATAAGTTGCTTCAAGTTAGCTGACCAAATTGTGCCCTCTCCCAGGGATTTTGCCAGATGTACTTCGAAGTTGCTAAATCTCAGTTACCTACTTCTGCATCATGACTTGTCACGGAAATCCTCAGCCAGGCTATTTGATACTTCCACTCTTACTTGGGTTTCTCCTCCACATCTTGTGGGATTTATTTCTTCGACTCTTTATGGTAGTAGTTGGAAAAAAGAGGTGAAGGGTTTCTGACATGACTATTCTTCTTGGTTTATGGATCATCTGATTGGAGAGGAACACCTAAATTTTTTGGGATCACTTCTCTTCTCCATTGCTTCTTTGGGATATATCATCCTTTTTGGCACCTCTTTTGGGTTAAAGAGCAAGGGCACTTTAAAGATTATCTTTGTCTATATTGTAAAGAGATTTCAACTATCATCCTTAGAATGTTAATCAGTTATTTTAGTTTCTTACTTCTTTTGTTCTTTCTTGTGCGCGGATATTTAATGCTCTGTTATTCTATATTTCTTTCATTTTCAAATAATATTTCTTTTTCTATAAAAAAAAATTAATTATGTTATGTTTAGACTTAATCTAATAGAACAAATTGAAATTGTTTGACTGTTTGGATTAATTTTATAAGTAATAAGTTAGCAGACAGTGAAGGATAAGTTTGAAGTAAATTATTATTGGGTAACCAGAGACTTAGCCTTTAAGGGAACAGTGTTCTTCTAACTGCTGCCATAAAAGCATTTTCTAAGAGCCAACAGTAAAATGTTGGTGGTACTGCATCATAGGTACCACGGGTATTAGGAGATTTTTGCCCACAGGGAGGTCAAGAGGTGACCAATGGGCCAATGGGCAAACGGCCTTGCTCACTCTCCCTGAACATTTGATCAACATTGTAAACACTGAAAAGCAATTACTAAAAAAGGAACTCAAGATGTTACCTTAAGAAGTTTCTCCCGAGTGCGCATCAAGTCGATCGAAAAAGGATGGCATAGTTTTACTTGTAGATTCTCAATCATCTTATACACCTTAATAGCTTCTTGCTCATCTAAACTTAGTTAAAGATGAAACTTCATTCAAATTTCATATTTACAGACAAATTCCCTCTATGACTTGAATCTATAAAAGAGAACAACATGCAAGTCAAAAGAACATAAGAAAAACAATAAAATAATCCAAGGGAAAGGCTAAAAACACATATTATCACTAATCATAATATTAGAGATTCCATAAACCAAAAATTAAAAAGGATACATACAGGGGAAGGAATTGTAGAAGCCTTGTCTGATATTGCTTTTATGTCACTTACAGTCTTTTCTATTTCATTCTTACTCCTAAGAAGGCCACAGATTTGGCAAACAAATCCTCTGCCATCTGCATATACAAACAGAGTAAAAAATAAAGTTGTTCTCCATGCTCTCTGAATTACTTAACCACAAGTGATTATCACACCAGAATCTCGAAGCAAGAAACCACTGCATCCATTGTCTGTACACCGGTAACCTTCCAAGACTGCAGTTTCTTGGATATCATCGGAGTGACCCTTCAGTAAAATGTAAGTTCAATCAACAGGCAGCATAAATAAAAATGGAATATCCAGCTTCTAACATCAATTTTTTTGTAAAATTTAGACTGTACTTGTAGAACCCTTCCTTTTACAAGTGCAAGAATTGAAGTGACACTTACCACTTTAATGCAGCGAGGACAAGTGCAATCAAAGAAGTACTGTTCTTTTAGAACCTTCTGCCTAGTCATAGTGCTTCCAGCGGTTTCTATGTAACTTATGGAGACCTGACAAAATGTGACAGTATAATAGCATTCATACATCATACTAAGCAGATGAAATAAAATCATTGATGTTAACATCTAATTTACATTACGGTTTTGTTTGCATTTGGTTAACCCTCCTTCATTTTCACCTATTTCCTAACCTTGACATGTAAAATTACAATAATATCTATATGTTTAACCTCCTCCCTACCCTATCTCATTGGAGATAGAAATTCAATTCCTAAGAATTTAAGTGGGGATTAAATTCCCACCAACAAGAAATTCAAGATTGAGGTGAGGGTAAGATTGAATAAAAATTTATTTAATTCCCATATATGTTAAAAGTAATACAAAAATTAGAAATTGGAATTTAATGAGAATGGAGTCCTGGATAAGATATGTACTACATCCTCGACATTTGCAGTCATGGTTAATGGTGGATCTTCCTAATTCTTTAAAGCATCACGGGGTTTAAGATAGGGATATCCTCTCTTTCCCCTATTATTCATTCTGGTGATGGAGGTCTTTGATAACTTACTATCAAAAGCTAGAGAAGTGGGGTTGTTTAGGAGCTTGAAAGTGGGAGAAGGAGAGGGGGTCATGGAGGTCTCTCATTTAATCTATGCCGATGACACTTTCCTTTTCTATTAACTAGAAGATAGGGTCTTGCTCAATATCAGGTGTGTATTGCTTTGTTATGAGGCTGTCTCGAATCTTAAGATAATTTGGCAAAACAGAAGCTCGTGATGATTGGTGATAATAGAGATGCAGGTTAAAAGGCTAATATATCGGGGTACAAAAAAGTTAATCTTCCTATAAAATATTTGAGCATGCCTTCGGGAGCAAAATTTAAGGAGATTTTCAACATGGAACTGGTAGTGAATAGATTGTAATCAAGATTGACGGTGGAAAAAGGGTTTGCTATCAAAAGGGGGCAGGTTGAAAATCATTAGAAGTACGCTAACTAGTATCCCTATTTACCTTACGTCCCTAGTCATTATTCCAGCTTGTTTACTAGAAGATTGGAGAAGATCCAATGCAACTTTCTCTAGGGAAATACTGTGGAAAAAAGGAGATATTATCTGGTTGCATGTAATAAAATTCTAGAAGAATAAATTTGTGTATTTTACTGAGTATCATGACCCTATATGTACAAGTTAATAGTAGTAATAAAAGGAAAAATGATTCGTTAAAGAGAGTATATTTTATGTAAATTAGATTAAAAGGTATTAGGGTAATATATACCCTATGAAAGAATTCAAAAATATTGGAAAATGAGGAAATGTCATTACTCAATGAGATAATTTCCAATGTAATTGTGACCGAGAGTACAAGAGGAGTCATATGCTAGAATCCTACTCCACTGATGGCTCAGCTCTGATCTCATCCAAATGACCTATCAATAGATCAAGCTTCATACAATGTTGATCTCGATCTTCCTGGTAAATTTGAGAAAGAATTTAAACATCAAACGTAAATGACCTATAATTTTTGGCCCTCTTACAAATTTGTTAAGGTCCTCTTTTAGGATCTAGTTATGGGATTTTGTTAATGGTATGAACTTGTTAAGAGAGAATTCAACAATCTCCCAGAGTTTGAAGTATTCAAAAAACTTTTTTGACAACTTTCTACATGTCTTATTCAGAATAAAATTTTATTTTTATGTAAAAGAAGTAATTTCTAAAATTAATAACTTCCCTAATGGGAAGAAACTACACTAGATCCTAGAAACTACCTGAGTAACTGCTACATTCTAGAAACTACCAACAAACTTATCTCACACATCCTAGCAGCTACCTTCACACTTATCCACTAACTACTTATATCATTAAATAAAACTAAATAACTACGTAAACAACATAAAAACTATTTTGTTTTAGCAACCATGTGTCACCCACTCTAGCAGCCATGTGTCAATCATTTTTAGTAGCAATGTAGCACATAATATTAGTGCTTGTAATTTGATGTTGTATCACAATAGCCATTTATATCTTAAGTTTTCTTTCTACCAAATGGGAGCAAATTGGTAAGCTAATTAAAAATGTAGGTCTTATATAGATCTTTAATGTTTGATTTTAAGCTTCACTATGAAGCTCTGCATAAAAAAAACAAACAAACAAAGCATTACTTACCTCAGAACCTTTGGGAATATTTTGTACAGCACGTACCACAGCTACTCTCCCTTCAAAGACCAAAACAGCATTGGGCAAGCAACTACAACTCCAAACATTTAGGTAAAAGACAGCAAGAAAACAGATATCATAGAAATCAATCTGCCAAAAGACTACCTGTGATTAATTATAGAAACAACAGGATACAATCCTGTTCCTACGGGCCTCAATTCACTGTCACAAATGGTATGTGCATTGCATGCAAGCTGCATTTAGATTATGAGAATCAGATTTCGTAACATTTCATTAGGAAATCAGTCTTCCAAATGAATATAGACTTTACAAATGCATCTTCGCTCAGTTTCATACATACAGATCAGTTTCCCAGAAGAAAATAATGCGCAATCAAAATCACTAGGGCACATCCTATAACACTAAACAACCATTTGAATGTAATGCATAATTTATGGAACAAACCATTGCTAACTTTTATTGAAAAACTTTCAAGCATCCATTCAGTTTTCCACATAAGATTGAATCAAAATTACATATTTTCAGAAGGAAAGTTCTTGCAGCTATAGTCTTGTAAAGGTTAACGTAGAAGGAAGATTTAACCAGAAAAAAAAAAAGTCTATAAAATGTGAAACAATTACGAGGAAGCCTGCTTGTGGATACTCCCGATATTAGTGTCTCATCAAAAAGATAAAAAAAATACTTGTTCAAGAAATATAAGGGTGTCTTGAGGAATTGTGATTCACTAAGATTATGATGCCCCTCACTTCACTCATCTTTGTTGCCCCTGGGGAATGAAATAATATATACTTATAGCCCATTTGATTTTAAAGCACCAGTCAGCTAGTATTTTTAAAACAATAAATGAACCTTAGAAAAATTCTCTGCGATCTCTTTTATGTTGATATCAGGCCATTGAAGAATTAAGTTGACAAGGCTGGCCATCTGGGCATATAGTACCAGTTGCTTCTCCTCAATATCTGACATGTCTTCAATAAAACTAGATTAAACAAAACATTACACCTGTGTAACCATAATAATTGCACCAAAGCCGAGCAAAGGAATAATAGATAACTGGATTAAACAGTAAGGCAAAAATTAAAAAGGATACGGGCCACGAGTACTTCCACCAACTTGAAATTGTTCATAGCTGTAGTTGATATGACCTAAATCCAGGAAATGAGAAACAATGAAATTAAGGATAGATTAGGACGTAGATTAACATCAAATCACCATAAAACAACTTATTGCGTGAGTTATTGTGCAAATGATTTACTGACAGTGAATACAGAAAAATTAGCAGGAGATTTCAAAGAATATGTTTTAAGGAAGGGAACATAACCAGCACAATTCAGATTATGTAAAGACCTCCAATGCTCGGTTACAAGGTGCCATATCAGGTCTAACCATTGACCTACTGTTTATTAACAGCTCCTGATGCTAATTGACATAAAATATTACGTTCCACATCTCAGTCTGCTGAAAAATCTCAAACCATATACCAAATTGAGCAGGATCTCTGGCTGCTGGGATGCAACACCTTTTCCCGAGGATCTGATTCATCCTATGTATGGACCTTCCCTATTGAACAGTCCATAAGATGCCCAAATTAAGGCTCTTTCCTTTTTTTTTTTTGGCTAAGAGCAGCTGTCCCTGTTGAAAATGAGTATAGAACCCAAAGCCCAACCCACTACTTTGGAGATAAATGACCATGGAACAAACACTAAGGTTCTTTGGCTCCCTCAAAATTGAGCATAAAAATATTAGCTCCTTTAAGCAAGATGTATAAGATTAAGAAAGTGCACGAGAATGAATTAAAAATGTCTTAAGTAACATTGCAGATAAAAGGCCTTAGATTATCACAATTCACAAACCAACAAACTTTTTTTAGTTTAAATTTGTCTAGTCAAACTCAAAAAACCAATCAAACTGTCAAGTAACATATACCGAGCTGAAGCAAAATAAGAAACTGGATGCAGAAAATTGCAGATAAATGAAAATTAAGAAAGTATGTCTAGCTGAATAAGCGAAGAAAAAAAGATCTGTTTACCTTCTCATTCTGTAATTTTTTTCGAAGGTACAGCTTCAACATCAATCGTATAGATGGTGTAACAAGTTTCCGCCTGTCCTTCTCAAGCCTACACAGTGCTTGGCATTCAAGTCGATGCAACTTCCATTCCAACTTCTGAAAATTAGAACAGCATACAGACGATATAGGTAGAACCAGTACAAATCTTACGTTTTTTTACCCAAACAAGGTATTCCAATCCATTGACTTATTTGATTTTCTATTTTCTTTAAAATAATATATGCTCTGTTAAAGTAAACAAGCAAGGCATTCCAATTCACCAATTTCTTTATGCTTACAAAGAGAGAGAAATGTTACATAAAGGGTGGAGGCTAAGAAATCTTCTTATGGAAGCAGGGGAAGAGAAGGATGAAACGAAAGTGCCTTAATACAAAAGAACATTCCATACTTTGCAAAATGGACAAAGAAACCCAATACCCGCCCACTTCCCAGAAAAAATAAGTCCTAGTGCTAAAGATGCAAAAAGAACCAATATATTCCAAAAATGTTGTCCTGTTTGAGCATTTACTGAAAATTCTATCATTCCATTCTGACAACAAAACCAATATTCAGGCAATAAATACCCTACATAATGCTTTTTGCTCCCTGTATCCTCCCGAACCACACGAGCTAATGGAGATTACATATGCATACATTTATATATACACACATATATTACTAACACTGCGAGAAGCTTGGTCAAGATGTTTAAACACCAGTAACACAAATTTGGAATGAGAACAATCTTTTTATTGTCCATATGACTTTTTGAGCAAACAATTAAGCAACCATACAGAATTAGAAACTGTAGAATTTATAACTGATGGAACCGAAAAAGATCCGACAAAGAGTTCCTTAAAAATGATGCATCCTTTGGTATACCTGGCATGTGCTCCCACAGTACCATACAATCTGACAAGCTGAGCACTTCTTAAGGTTACTCGTTGTAAAGCATCCATCACATCTTGAGTCAGTCGAGGAGTTATTTGATACGCAAACATAAGGCTGCTGGCTTATAACTACTTCTCCTGTAACATCAAAGATGCACATAAATAATTAAAATACAAAAAGACAGAGATGGAAAGAGAAAGAGAGTAGTTATATTTGGAACCTGATGCTCTTTTAATGCTACTAACATGCTATTTGCAAGTCTTGGATTGTTCTAGCAGTTCAGCTAATAAGAAATGAACTAAACCCAGAATATGAGAAAATCCCCTAAAACCTTAAAGCTAATGTTACCTCTGTTTTGAGATTTTCTACTTCATCACAAAGAGGAGAGTATCGCAGCATATATACATTAAGAGTCTATATTTGCGCCTGTGTAAATTGGGAGAGGGATACCTGGATAGAAATCTCTCGTGGTAAGGAGACAACGGCCTTTATTTGGGAAGTTAGAAATAGTTAGGCCCCGCTCCTGAAGTGCACTCCGCAATTCCTCCATTGACGAAAGCTTGCTTGCTCGCTCGCTCGCTCGCTCGCAACTCTCTCTAGCAATCTCTGGAGCGTCTCTTTTCGAAACTTTGCGATTCCGGCTAATTGGACACGGGTTCGATTCACTCCCGCCAGTATTTTCGCGTTTCTTCTGCTGCTTTTACTCTATGCTCTAGATTACCCATTTTTTTTTTACTACTATTAAAAGTATTTTTTATAAACTATTTTAAAGGTAATTGCGAGGATTTTGTTTATTTCGAAAAAGAGCCAAAATACTCCATCATTTTTAAATTTTTACCCAATCAATCCTCAGTATTAGTTATTATTTGTGGACTGTTGATGGTTAAACATGCGGTTTATAACGTTAAAAAAATGTAACACTTAAGAAATGATATGACACATGATATAATAATTATTTTAAATTATAATATTAAAACTATCTTATAAATTCTATAAATAACTTATAATTTTAAATAAAAAAATATTTTTAATAAAAAAATAAATTAAATCATATATTTATAAATATATGCATTAAAATAATATATATATATATAAGAGTTCACGTGTAGTAAAACTTCTCATTGATTCTCAGAGATACTGGTAAGTAAATAAAGTAGTAAAGGTTTGATTATTTATGATTATTCCTTCACAAGTTGTATTTGGGAATCTAAATGGTGATTATGAAATTAATATTTCTTTTAAATTAAATGAATTTACCTAAAAAGAAAAATAGTTTCGTTATTTGTTTTGTGATTTTTACTAACTTTTAATTTTTTGTATCGGCCATAAAGTGTTAATATTCTTACTGAACTAGTGTAGTTCATCATTCTTATTTAACCATTTTAGATTATGACGATCAATATTCAGATCCAGAACAGTAAGAAAATCAGTAATTAAAGGTTATCTCTCATTTTCTATAAGTTGTACTACGAATGTCGACCCTATAGGTTTCTAGTTTTTTTTTTTTTTTGTTACTTTAATTTTCTTTTAGGGATATTCTCGTAACCTTGTTGGACATTCTGATTAAACTGTGCAATGAATGTAAACCCTAGATTTTTAATTACTTTTGTTAATATTGTATTAATTCAATATTATCCTTTAATTAAATTTATAGGCAATTACAGTCCCACTAAAACTTCTTTACTTTTTTGTCTTCATCCATCATGTTCTCAGGAGAGTATCGGCCCAACTTTAAGAATTTTCGGACATACTCAGACAATGTCATATCCCCTTAAACCAAGTGTGCAAACTCTATCTCATTTAAAAACTGAAGGTATTCTGGGATGTACTTTGTATTGAAAGCTATCAGAAACTGTTCCCAAGTGACCGGGATGGGTAGGGTGGTCTGCTTTAGTTGCCACCAACACTTTGTCTCAACCACGAGCATGTAAGTGGCAAGGATGACCTTCTATTTGGGAACCACTCCAAGAGTTGCAAAGGCCTTCTTCATCTCTGCTAACTAGTACTCAACTTCTTTAAAAGTGGATATCCCTACAAAAGTATATGAGTTAAGTCTTTTGTACCTCTCAATATAGTATGGGTCCATCGCAGATAGAGTTGGGTCCTGCTGAAAAGGAACTGGATTATGTTGGGGAGGGATCGGGTGGCTCCGTGGTGGTACCTATTTGTATGGTGGGGGCACCAAATTGTATTGTGATAGTGTTGGATGATACAATGAAGGAGTAAAATTGTATTGTAGTGGTACTGAATCCTCTCGTTGTACAGGAGGCTCATACTATGGCTTGGTGGAGGAGGATCAAATAGCTCCCTCCTCTCTTCCCTAGCCTGCTGGGTAGCGATGAGTCTCTTTATCATCTTGAAAAGTTGATTAACATCTTCTCGAAGTGACCCCACCCCGATATCTCTATTTAGTGGGGGTCTTCATCTCTTCATGTTCTTGTACCTATATTTCACAACAAATGATTGAGATTTAAGTTGTATTGAATTGTTATAATCTTTTATGTAAGGAATGGTTTTGAGAAATACGGTTCTACATCTAACTCATGTCTTACAAGTTCTCAGATAAAAAAAACTATATGCAAAACTGAGTAAGTGTGGATTTTGGCTTGAGCAAACTTCTTTCCTATGCCACATAATATCAAACGATGGATGTTACTAAATTATGAGAAGATTGATGCAATGATGGGTTGGAAGCAGTTAACTTCGGTTAAGGAAGTTCGAAGTTTTTTGGGTATGGATGGTTATTACTGCAGGTTTGTATAAAGGTTTTCAAGTATAACTGCTCCCTTGACCCAACTTACGAAAAAAAATGTCAAATTTGAGTGGAATAATGAATGTGAAATGAACTTTACAGAACTCAAAAAACGATTGACTACTACGCCAATTTTGGCTATGCTGAGTGGAACAAGTGGATATACAGTACACAATGATGCGTCCTACCAAGAACTGGGTTGCATTCTGATGCAGCACAGAAAGGTCATAACTTATGGGTCCAAGCAATTGAAAACTCATAAAAAGAATTATCTCATCCATGATTTGGAACTTATTTCATTATCCACGCCTTGAAGACCTGGTGCCACTATTTGTATATGAAGACATTTAAAATTTATATAAACCATAAGAGTTTAAAATATATATTCACTCAGAAAAATCTCAACATGCATAAGAGGCGTTGGATAGAGCTCCTAAAAGACTATGATTGTAATATATGGTATCACCCAAGCAAGGGTAACATGGTAGCCAACACTCTCAATAGGAAAAATGTAAGTATGTTGACTCACATAATAGTTTCCAAATGCAAGGTAATAGAGGCTGCGCAGCAGATATAACTCCAATATTTGAAAAACGACCACATGTCTGGCCCATCTTGCAGTCCAACCCGAATTGATTCAGAAAATAAATGAAGCTCAACTAATTGATCTCACTCTAGTAGCTCTCAGAAAGGATACAGAACATGATTTAAATTCAGAATTTCGAGTCTCTGTCGATAAGTTGCTCAAATTCCAAAACAGGGTATGCATTCCAAATGACAGTGAACTGAAAAAGGATATTATAACAAATGCTCATAGTTCAAGATTCACCATGCATCCTGAAAGTACTTAGATGTATCAAAGCATGCGACCCCGATTCTGATGGAATGGAATGAAAAGGAAAATTTTCGATTTCGTCTTCAAGTGTCTTGTATATCAACAGGTCAAGGCAAAGCATCAATATTCAGACATACTGCGTCAGCCATTACCAATCTCAGAGTAGAAGTGAGAATATATCACTATAAATTTTATAACAGGGTTGCCTAGAGCACGTTCAAGATATAACACAATCTAGGTAATTTTTGACCGATTCACTAAGTCATCTAATTTCCTGGCCATCAGAACAACTGACTCATTAGATAAGTTAATTAAAATCTATATTCGAAAGATAGTTAGGCTACATGGAATTTCAGTGATAGTAGTATCAGATAGGGACCCCAGGTTCACCTCTCGATTTTGGACAGGTTTTTAACAAGAAATGGGGACGAAAATATCTCTTAATATAATATTCTACCATCAAACAGATGGACAATCAGAATAAATCATTTGCATACTAGAGGATATGCTCAGGACTTGCGTTCTAGATTTTGAGAGGGCATTAGAATGACCACTTACCTCTAATAGAGTTCATCTATAATAATAGTTATTAAGCAAGTATTGGCATGACTCCGTATAAGGCATTATATAATCGACCCTATAGGTTGTCGATCTGTTGGAAAGAAATGGATGATAGGAAATTGATTGACTCAAATCTTGTAGATGAGATCACAACAAAGATAGTTAAAATCATAAAAAATATTCAGACAACCCAGAGTAGATAAATAAATTATGCGGACACCCAAATGAGAGATTTAAAATTTGAGAATGACGATTGAGTGTTCTTTAAGGTCATCCCCTTTAAAGGTATCATCAGGTTTGGAAAAAGGGAAAAATTGAACCCTTAGTTCATCGGACCATTTGAGATATTGGACAGGATTAGGATATTTGCCTACAAGCTAGCACTACCTCCAAAACTATCCAGTGTTCATAATGTATTCTATGTGTCAATGTTACGCAAGTATAATTCGAACCCCTCACATGTCTTGTCTTATGAGCCACTCTTACTATAGGAAGATTTATCATACGAGAAGGTACTAGTTAGTATTTTATACTAGAAGAGCAGAGTGCTTCGCAATAGAGAAATTCATC